CTGCCACAGGAGAAAAGCTAGCATTGGAACAAAATTCCAAAAATTGTTGCTTTTTAAAGTGTTATTAAATATCACTGAAATGAGTAAGTTAGATTTCTTTTCATTTATCATCCTTCCCAGATAAGCCTTATTTCCTGCCCTTTGAACTTAGAGAAAGGCCAGATGCTAACAATAGAGAACATATGAAAAGCTATCTGAGCGTGTTAAGAATTCCCCAGTGTGTGGGGGAAACAATGGCACTTCATCTCCTTCATGTCATCCATTTATTAGTTCCTCACCATGCTTGTGTGTTGTTGCTGGACTATATAATTTCAGATGACTGATAAAGAATCAAATATCAGTATGTTCCTTCCTGTATTTTTAAGAATCGGGCTTATATAACTTAATTAGAATGATTGTTCTACCATTGGACAGATAACCTGTTTTGTCCCACATTCACAGTATTGTTTGAAGTCCTTTGTTGGACATATGAAATGCTCATTTGAAAACAATATCCAGAAACAGGAGACATTTTTGGACTATTGGCAAATAAGCTCTTGCTGTTTTATAGTTTGCCGGGAAGATTCTCATCAGTCAATCGTCTCCTGTGCTGCCACGCTACTTACTTCTGTTGAATCAGCTGAAAATAAGAAAAAGGAATTTCCCCAAATGCCGGAAGTGACTAAACAGTGAGTGAACAATATAACTTCATAATATTAATAGAACTCAACCATTGTGAAGTAGCTTCTCTATGTCTTTCATTTTTGATATGCTATATAATAAGTTTCTGATAAAAGTTTCACTTCTCTTTTTGGATATTTCCAAAAAGGGTTTCAAGAAATATCTATCTAATCGCTGGAGTAAATTGTTCTTGGTAAATGTTGATCTGAATCTAAAATATTGTTGACTAGTGAGTGATTGGAAGATTAAATGGGGTTTCGCATTTGTGGGATTTCCACAGTAAATAATGGAATGAATATATTAAAATACATAGTATACAGTAAAACATACAGTATATACAACATTTTGGTTTTCATATTTACACCGGAACACTGAAGCTGTCTAGGTCTAATCTGGTAGAAGTGAGCCATTTTTTTGTGACACTTTGTCACAACAGGACTGTTACTTGTGATTTTACTGCTAGATTCTCCATTAAGTTTGTTTGTCGGAAGCTCATTATGAAGCACTTAAATTGCAATCATGTAATTGCAGGGATGCTGTGATGGTCATAAGTTTAAGGATAAGTTATAAGATTATAAAATTACTTTCGTTTGCAGATAATCTTGAGAATAGACGAGCATATAGGTAGCTCAAGGTTCGACTACGGAATTCTTGGTACGCTATGAGCTTCTTTCAAACTCACTAGCACAGTAATGATGTTACCTAGTTGGGTAATGAAATGTCTGCAATCAAAGAATTAAGTTCGGAGAGCACCAAAGACTCCATAATTTTCTTTTAAAAAGTTACTTTAGGATTTGGCTTAACTTTATGACTGTCTTTTGCAATAGAAGATATATGCCAATAATTTATGTCAGTGGATTATTTAGATATTACCATGAAAAAAAGTTAATTGTAGATGACTAAGTAAATTAAAAAATATCTTCTTTCCAATGTTTTTCCTCCTAAATTTCTGTTACTTTTTTCCTCATAAAATGTTATACTATTGCTCATTTCTCTTTCACAGCTCAGAACCATCCTTTTTGAGATGAGATATCATGATGCAATGGTCTAGATTATAGGTAGTCCTCGATTTACAGCAGTTCATTTAGTGACCATTCAAAGTTATAAAGACACTGAAAAAAGTGTCTTATGACATTTTCACACATTTTTCACATGGGCACATGTTCAAAATTCAGATGTTTGGCAACTGACTCATATTTATGATAGTTGCAGTGTCCTGGTGTCATGCTGTAATTGAGTCTGGAATTAAGTTATTGCAGTCATAAATTGAGGCACTCATGTGACTGGAAGTAATTTTCCAGTGTTTGTCATGGTGGTTGTTAAATGAACCATTCATTTGAATGCATGTTTTTGGGCTGGAAACTAGCAAGAAAATGGCAGAAATTGGCAAAAAAAACCCATTGTGAATTGTGGTCATATAACTGCAGAATGCTACTGACCCACCTGTCATGCAGTTATGTGACCATGGGGTGATGTGACCATTTATGATGCTTGGCTGTGTTTTATGGACCATTCTATGGCCGTTGTAACTTCGAACAGTTGTAAAATCAACATTAAATGAAAACTATCTATAGCCATACAATATTCTAAGGGGTATAACTATAAGTGAAAGGCTGGGATTAGATTAGATTAGATTAGATTAATGCAATGTGCTACTCTGGGTAGCTGATAACAGGAATAGATGCAATTAAAGGGGAATGTTACATATATTACAGGTATTATTTGGATTTTATACCTTAGGTATTAAGCATTCTGAAATTTCCTGAAATTCAAGGCTTTAGAGCTTAATCAGTTACAAATCTTAGCTTAAAGTCTGTAACAACCTACATATGTAAACAGAAATGGAAAACTGTGGCTCTTCAAATGTTGCTAACCTAAAGCTTCCATTGTCCCTCACCATTAGCCCTCATAGTTACAGATGTTGGAGGTTGTAGTTCAATAATATTTGGAACCAATGTATTTTTCATAAGTGCTGTTTATTTTTGATTTTGAGTCATCTTTAATTCTTTAATATCTGTGATGTCTCTAGGTTGATAATCTGGAGAGGGACAAAGTTATCCATAATGAAGCAAAACCCACAAATATATTTCAAATGGAAACAAGTAAACAAGATTGTATTTCTTGTTTCCATCCATCCTTACTCCCCTCATACCGTGGCATTGCCTAGAATATTTTTAAGCTATTTTATAAGCAGGTTTTGAGGAAAATGAGATAGAAAACTAATAAAGTAGAAATTTCCAGTACTTCAAGTCTTTATTACGTTTTTGCACATAACTCTTCCTGCTATATGACATTTGTTGGGAACCAATTTACTGTTTAGATTCATAGAAATAAAACATTTTTTAATAGCTGCATTGACATTTGGGGGCAAACATTCCAGGATGCCTTGGTATTACTAAGGAATTGGTTCAGCTGCTGAAAGGATGCAGATGCTAAAACTTGCAAGGATTGGAAAGCTGAAATTTTCCTTTAGGACTAGTGATAGAAGGACTAAATATATTATGTCAATTCTTGAGGAAGAAAAGTAGAAGTTTGGGACATATGCTGATTTGGATTTTACTTTGACAGAAAGCATTTCTCTTAGGTGAGAAAAAAGTACTTTATATCTTGAGGCAAACATTTTTTTTCTAAGTGTAGTTCATCATAGATTATCATATGAATATTCAAACTGTCATGGAGAGATAATTCTAAAGGGTCAGAGAGAGTTAGGTGAGGAAGATTTCTTAGCTGCTAAACATCCCGATTATTTAATGTTCATTGTGAAATAGCATTTTAAAAAATGCCAAGTAATCATAAAAGTTTACACCCTCCTCCACATTCACAACAGAGGATTCATCCAATATCTCAGGGGCTGCCATAAAGAAGAGGGAGTCAAGCTATTTTCCAAAGCGCCTGGAGGCAGGACAAGAAGCAACGGGTGGAAACTAATCAAGGAGAGAAGCAACCTAGAACTAAGGAGAAACTTCCTGACAGTGAGAACAATTAACCAGTGGAACAACCTGCCTCCAGAAGCGGTGAATGCTCCAACACTGGAAGTTTTTAAGAAGAGACTGGACAGCCATTTGTCCGAAATGGTATAGGGTTTCCTGCCTGAGCAGGAGGTTGGACTAGATGACCTTCAAGGTCCCTTCCAACTTTACTACTACTACTACTACTACTACTACTACTACTACTACTACTACTACTACTACTACTACTACTACTACTATTATTATTATTATTATCAATATATTTTTACCTAATTTCCTTACTTTCTTATTTTGAATGAGTTGTTTCCAGTATATTTCCAGGTACCATTCACTGGCATCTGACCAATTGTGGGTTTGTGGATGTTACAATTCTACAGTTTCCAACAGCTAAATGAGAAGAGCCAGTTTGGTGCAGTTATTAAAGTGGTGGCCTAGAAACCAAGAGAATGTGAGTAGTATAGTAATCCTGCTCTAGGCATGAAAGCCAGCCCGGTGACTTTGAGCCATGGATTCTATATTAAACCAACTCAGTCACAGGGTTATAGGTAAGGGGAAAATAGAAGGCAGGTATATGAGCTATGTTCACCACTTTGAGACAGGCAGGCAGGCAGGCAGGCAGGCAGGCAGGCAGGCAGGCAGGCAGGCAGGCAGGCAGGCAGGCAGGCAGGCAGGCAGGCAGACAGACAGACAGCTAGGTAGGGAGGTAGGTAGGTAGGTAGAGAGATAGATAGAAAGATAGAAATAGAGATATTTTCAACATCTAAGAACAAGAACAACATCGACTTCTTAAATGGCCTCTTGAAAAATCATATCCTTGCCTGGGGATTTTAGTGTCCTCTGGGAAGACTTCGTTGAATTCAAATGTCATGAGATTTGATATTTTTATCTTTGTGATTCCAAGAATTTCATTTTGGAGAACTCAGAGACTATTTACTCACTGATGCTACATTGCTTATCCCTGCTTTAAAGGCTTTTATTCCACAACAAGTTAGGTGAATCCTTTTCCTGATTTGGGAGAGAGGGTTAAAATGCAAATGCTTATGTGTGTGGGGGGAGGAGCTTAAGCCTTCGCTAAGATTAATGCAGCCCAGCACACTCCTTTTTGTCTCTTGAAGCCTCCCCGAAAAAACATACTAACTTGTGCTTGTCCAAATCACTTTCCATTCTACAGCCTTTGGAAACTGTACACATTCATGTGCGCATCCGTGCGCACACCCACACACAGAATTTTGCAGAACTTTGAAAATTGTTCATCCCGATATTGTACCACATTTATTTAGAAGCATGTAGCAAATGAAATATTAATATTACTACCAGAATGTAATTTCCACACTCATGTACTATGGTGCAATTATTTTCTTTATAGAGAGGATCAGGTTCTGTTTGCTTGTCATGGAGATTTAAAAAGAAAAAAAATTGCCATAAATAAAAAAGTTGGTAAGCTATGTAACATCATACATATAGTTAATACAAAGGAAATAAAATCAAAACTGTTAGATGCAGAGTACTTAAAGCTCACTGTTTGGATGAATGAATCTGTTAATTTTTTTTGCTCTGTTGCACATTTAAATCTCTCTTTTCTCCCTGGATCATGAAGAAATTTAAGAACATGAATTTAAAAAAGTCTTTAAAGAATAATTTTGTTATTTAATTCTGGCATCTTGTTGCCAGTTCAGCCTCTAGACCCGATTCTTGAGCTGTGAATTCCACCCTACTGAAGAGATGAGTCAATCACTTCCATGAGTTTTCTGCTACAACAGCTAGTGAATTTGGTCCTAAGCCTTTATCTAACTGTCTACTCACCATTGCTGGAGGCCTCCAAAGCTATTGCAAGATAAAACATGCTAATGTTTTCAGAGAGTTGAGGAATAGAATTTGATTCCTGCAGAATAGCAATAATAATAGCACTTAGACTTATATACCACTTCATAGTACTTTACAGCTCTTCCTAAGCAGATTACAGAGTCAGCAAATTTCCCCCAACAACCTGGCTCCTCATTTTACCTACCTTCAAAGGATGGAAGGCTGAGTCAACCTTG